TATATATATATATATATATATATATATTCTTTCAAAGTTTCTTTGATGGGATAAGCACTCATGTTCCCATTTTTTTTGGTAAGAATTCCAGAATATTTCAAATCCAGTATAGGATGAATAACAGAAAATAAAAAAGCACTTTTCAAGGTGGGAGCAAAAGGCCTGGAAAGACACACCAGACTGCTGCCCCGGAGGTAAGGTTCCGATACACCTCCCTGGAGACACTGGACCCTGCCACATCCACCCAATTAACTATACATGTGGTGTCGGTGTCCTGCCAGGAGGCATGCCAACACCACCGGGCAGAGCGATGGCAGTGCGGACCCAAGAAGGGAACGCGGGTTTCATTTATCACAGCAAGATGCGCCTTGCAAACAGCACTGCCGGGCGGCCCAGCTCCCTCCCTCGTGTTCCAAACACTCACAGCGCCCGCCGGGAGACGGACCTTGGAGATGGGCCACCACTGATTCCGATTTTTGTAAACGATCCGTTTCACGGCTTGGAACAGAGACGTGTGGCAGCGCTAAGGAAGCAGTGGCATCTGGGGTCTTTATCATCCGACCCCAGCAGATGGTTCCAGCTGTGAGGTCCGGGGCAAACTCACTGAGCTTTCCCTGCCTCCGTTTCCCCAACTGTAAAGCAGGGCTCGTGAGAGCACGTCCATGGGCAGTGGGGAGGCAGAGAGAAGGTAATTAAGATAACACCCCCGGAGGGTTCGGAACTGTGTGTACATAAGAAGAGACGGATAACATGCTATGGGCTGGTGCAGAAGATGCTGGGCAACCGGACGGAAAGGGCCGGGTGGCGCGGGCACTGTCACCACTGCGCACCGGGGCCTCTAAACAGTCCCGGCAGGTGCAGTGGGTGAACCCGAGGTCCGGACGGGGCTCAGGATGCAGGACCGACAGGCAGGCCCCGCCCTGCAGACACCCACCCGGGCGCCGCCGCTTCGGGGCACCTGGGCACGGCAGCGCCCGCGAACCATGGCTCCGTCGCGGGCCGGGCGCCCGGAACCACCCGCCGGGCACCACCCTGCCTCGCCCACCGCCTCGGAGGAGGGCGTCGTCCCG